GATGTACAAATGCGCTTTACACAATTGATGTGTGTATGGATTGGGATAACAGTTGTATGAGCCCCTAATAAAATGTTAAAAAAAAAAAAAAGATGTGCTATTTTTATATATTAATATTGACTTGCATGTTTCCTTCCTTCAGGTTTTTTTGTTCATTATTCTTCCCTGGACTAATTGTGAGTGGAACACTGTGTCTGTGCTTGGTCATTTTCCTCTGGGGAGTCAGACTGCTGCTTCAGAGAAAGAAAAAGTCCGAGATAACCAACAAACCTGGGAAAAATCAAAGGGTGATTGCATTTTTCCACCCATACTGCAATGCTGGCGGCGGCGGTGAGCGGGTGCTGTGGTGCGCCTTAAGGGCCCTGCAGAAAAAGTAGGTGTGCGTCTCTCTCCCGTAATTTGCTCTGTTGTTGCACTCTTTAAAAACCTGGTGTCCAGAAAGAGAGCCATCCTGCCCCAGTTCCCTCATCCATTGCCAGGAATTCCCATCTGCAACTGTTTTCGGAAGGCAATGCTTCTTTTATGTGTACGCCTGCCTTTCAAGAACCTGTTTCATTTTCAAACCAAACTCACTGCCTCAGGTCCATTCCGCTCGTAGCCAGCCTATAGGACAGCGTGGCACTGTCCATGCGGGTTCTGACACTGTCAGTCTTTCCAGCAGGAGCGAGCCCCATCTCTCCCCTAAGGAGCAGATAGTAAAGTACAGGATCCATCATTTTTGTTCTCTCATCCATGAGGAAGTCTATTGTTCTTCTGTGGTTTCCTTACTTCTTGTCACACACCCTTCAGATCCCACAACTATACATTTCCACATTCTTGGCCCCTCCTGGCCTCAGGCCAAATTCAAGAAACCCAAAGACTTCTCTTAAAGTGCAAATTAATTCCCTCTCCTTGAGTTCCTTCGACTCCAGCTACACTACTCTTTCCTTTGGCTTTGTTAGTTATCTTTGTCTCTATCACTAGATTATCTAATGCTTGAGGGCAGTGGTAAAAGTTTCAGCATCCCTGTACACATCCTCATACCTGTACCCAACCCTCATTACACTTAACCCCCCCTTCAAGGGAAAAAAAAGTCTAAATAATATGTCAGACAACATAATTTCTCCATCTTGTTCCTTCCACTTTTCATTTTCCATTCCTCCCTGCTCCCTCACATATGCCAGGGAATTTCAAAAAGTTCATGGAAAAATGGAACTAAAAGATTGTGAAATTTTTCCATGAACTTTTGAAGCCCCCTCATATTTTGCTCCGGCATACTGAACTATGAGAAATTCCCCGAATGTAAGGTACTCTTCTTGAGATTTCTTGCCTTTCCATAGATTTTTTTCCCCCCTGAAATGCCCTTTTTCTTCATCATTTGTTTCTATAAGTTTTTCATGGCTCAGTATAAGCTACAGTACACTTTTCATTTAATGTTCAGGTTATCAGGGACAGAGTATTTACCAGGCAAGAGTCCTTGAGTGGCTTAGGCCTTCAAAGCACTCAGCTAATAACCAAAAAGGTTCGTGGTCCAGACCCATGTGGAGGCACGTCAGAAGACAGGCCTGGTGAGCTGCTTCCAAAGCATTCCAGCCTCCACCACTCTATGGAGTGGTTCTGCTCTGCGCACCAGGGTCACCAGAGTCGGAAACGCCTCAACAGAACTTATTAATTGGTTTTGTATCAGGTGCTGTGTTAGGAGTTGAGGCTAAAGTGTTGAAGTATAGAACCAGAACTTGACGCACTTACTTAATCTTCATAACAACCTTATGAGGTCGTTACTCTTATCTTCATTTGACAGACAGGGAAACTGAGGCTTTGGAGCCAGTGTTCTACCCCATATGCTACAGCTTCCCTTCTTTAAAGACAGCGAAGCTGAACAATTTTAAAGCAAAGGGACCAACTGCTGCAAATCCCTTCAGTGTGGAAGAAGCTTGGTGTGTTCAGAGAAAGGAACGCCGCTTTGACTTGAGCCTGACGGGCTGGGCAAGAGTGGAGAGAGAGACTACAGAGGGAGGCAGGGTCCACATCACATAGGACTTGAATGAGGAGGGTGGGTTTTTTGGGGTTTTTTTGCTCATCGTTTTAGGGATTTGATGGACTTGCTTGAGTCCCTGTTTGCAGTCAGGAGAAAGTGGACCTGGAGTCACTTGAAGGCCTCACTCAAAGATCTGGTTCCTGAGGCAGGCTGGCTGGGACGGCTAGCATCTGATTGGGGTGTCTGCAAGCAGCCTCTGCGTATCACAGGCTGGGCTTGCGCATGGCGTGGTCTCAGGCTGTTAGCTGGAAATCATGTATAACAGCTGACTCCCCCAGAGATAGGAAGTGGAAGCTGCCGGTCCAGAAGTGGGCAGTGTCACCTCTCCCGTATTCAGCGCAATGGCAGAGCCTCCATTATTGAAGGGAAAGGACTATAGGATTCCCCTTAGTGCGCAAAGTGTTCAAAAACTGATGGCCATCTTTAGGCCACCAGAGGGGGTGGTCTTGTTCACATGTCAAAAGGGTCTGGCGAGCAGTTAGATCAAGTGGGAGGGAGGCTGGGGAAGAACAGTGAAATAAATGCCCACCTTTTAGCCTTCCAGCCGCCTGTGCTTCTGTCTGCCAACACCTGCCACGCAGGTTGTAAGTATTTGTTTGTATGTCTGTCATCTCCACTGGATTGAGCTAAAGGATAAAGATTTGTCATCCTCGTTCCCAGTACTTAGCATGTCATTGTAGATTTTAATAAAAGTTGTATATCTAGAAGAAGAAGAAGAAGAAAGACAGCTACCAGGAGGCCAAACAAAGCATTAAAGTCATGAGTATAATTTAAGTATTTCCATTTTAGCGATAATGTGTGTTTTTATCATGAAGCAGACATAAGATCTAGCTCTTACATCCCTTTGGGGTTTCTCGGATGGAAACACCCAAGTGTATGAGCTAAAGATACTTCAGTGAATTTTAATTCTTGTTTATGAGTGCCTTATTAATATTTCGTTACTATTTTCATACTGAGAAACTATTTTAAATGAAGCTTTTAGATATTTCTTGGGGGGAAAAAGCCTTGTTCATAAATCAGCTCGCCAAACCAAAATCACTACCAGTTTTGAATTTCAGCTACCCTAGAGGACAGAGTAGAACTACTTCTATGGGTTTGCAAGGTTGTACATTTGTACAGAAGCAGACAGCCTCATCTTTCTCCTGTGGAGCCGCTGGTTGCCTCAAACTGCTGACCTTGCACTAAGCAGCTTACCTAGTAACCCATTATGCCACTGAGGATCCTTGATAAATATTAAGTTTGTTGGTGTCTACTGTACATGAAGCTCTCAGTGTAGGAGACAGCTAAGAGCTAGGAAGCACACAGCCTCATTTGAAGGACTAATGTTTTAGCTGTAAGAGAGTAGATGACTCGGGAAAAGATGGGGTCAGTACTCAAAGTGCCAAGAGTAGAAAACATTTCTTTTAGTATGAAAGTAAGCTCTGTGATTGTGAAGAAATTGTAACTTTTTGCTGGATTTTAATCTAAGCGCCTGAAAGTCTGAAACATTCCATTCCATCTCAGGTATCCTGAAGCAGCTTATGTTGTTTATACCGGAGATGTCAACGTCAGTGGTGACCAGATCCTGGAAGGTGCTTTCCGAAGATTTAACATCAGATTACCCCGTCCAGTGACGTTTGTTTTCCTAAAGAAGCGCTACCTAGTGGAAGATTCACTCTACCCCCACTTCACATTGCTGGGCCAAAGCCTAGGGTCCATATTCCTCGGCTGGGAAGCTCTGATGCAGTGTGTTCCTGATGTGTACATCGATTCCATGGGCTATGCCTTCACACTTCCTTTGTTTAAGTACATAGGGGGCTGCCGAGTCGGAAGCTACGTCCATTATCCCACCATCAGCACTGACATGCTCTCCGTAGTGAGGAATCAGAATGCCGGATTTAATAACTCAGCCTTCATCACCAAGAATCCCTTTCTCAGCAAAGTGAAGCTTATCTACTACTATCTATTTGCTTTCATGTATGGATTCGTTGGGTCTTGTAGTGATGTGGTCATGGTCAACTCTTCATGGACACTAAACCACATTCTCTCCCTGTGGAAGGTGGGGAGTTGCACCAACATTGTGTATCCACCTTGCGATGTACAGACTTTTCTAGACATTTCCTTACATGAGAAGAAGACAACCCCAGGACACCTGATGGTTTCCGTTGGCCAGTTCAGGCCTGAGAAGAATCATCCATTGCAGATCCGAGCCTTTGCCAAGTTGCTAAGCAAGAAGGTGGCACAGCCACTTCCTTCCATTAAACTTGTCCTCATTGGGGGTTGTCGGAACAAAGATGATGAACTTCGAGTTAATCAACTGAGAAAGCTATCTGAGGACCTAGGAGTGCAAGACAATGTGGAATTTAAAATCAACATTCCGTTTGAAGAGTTAAAGAAGTACTTATCTGAAGCAACCATTGGTCTTCATAGCATGTGGAACGAGCATTTTGGGATTGGTGAGTTTGACCTTTAAACAACTTGTTGGGGCAGTGAGATGTACATGTTTGCTAGTGCACTAAAACCCTGGAAATGGAAGCTTGTATTGAGTGCTGATTCTCTTACAAGTAGTAACGGTAGCTAATAGACTGCTTTCTGTGCATGGATCTCGTGCAGAGTTTTTACAAGTGTTATTTATTTAATCATCCCTAAAGCCCTATTTGATAAGTAATAGTTATTCCCAAGGAGCCCCTCTAGCAAAGTGTTTAAGAGCATGGCTATTAAACCTTTTGGTAAAGGTTGGCAATCTAAATGCAGCAACTGCTCTGTGGGAGAAAGTTATGGCAGTCGACATGCATAAAGATTTACATACAGCCTTGGAAACCTTATGGGACAGTTCCTCTTTGTCCTGTAGGGCTGCTATAAGGCAGAATCAACTTCATGGCACCCAACAACATTCTTAGCCCCATTTTAGGTGAGCAGAATCAGCCACAGGAAGGTTTAGAACTTGCCTGAAGTAAGTCATACAGTAAGTGGCAGAGCAAGGATTCTAACCTCAGGAACCTTGATTCTTACTACATTCTCTGACTGTCTTCTCCCCATCTAACCTTGGAAGCATATCAGTACAGATTCCTGGGCCCCAACCCTACTCCTGGAACCCATGCGTGATTCAAGGAGTTAGCATGCTTGACTGCTAACCAAGAGGCTAGCAATTTCAACCAACCCAAAGGCACCCCTTAAGAAAGACTCACTTGTGAAAAATCAGCCTTTGAAAATACTGTGGAGGAACTTCCAGAAAATGGTGGAGTAGGCAGACAATATGCCACCCAGATCCTCTACAACATAGAACTGAGAAATCAGATAATGGATGATAATCCTGGAATCCTGAGCTTCCAAGAGGGGAGTGTAAAGAAGTACATCAAAGAAACTAGAAGAAGAAACTGAACAGAAGCAGCGACAACCTGAGACTAGCCGACTTGACACCATCACCTAGAAGCCAACGCAGATATAGAAGTGTCCAAAGTAAAGTACGCCTACAGGCTCAACACAGGGAACCAGAGATGTCAATTTGTCAACAAGGAAAACGACAAGGGAAAAAATACTGTAGTCACAGAACTTCCAAATGGAGAGGAAGTCAAGTGGATTTCAAGGTCGAGCAGACTATTTTAACTAGAGTAACTGCTAAGAAAACTAATACACTTTCCCATCAAATTAAAAAAGAAGACAATCACAGACTAAATAATAGCAACAAAGGAAATCCATAAACAAAATGAACCAAGTACAGAAAAATACAGGAGACAAGGAAATCAGTATCACCTCAAGCACACACCAACAAAACGACAGCAATAAATTCACAACTATCGATAATTTTACTGAATGTAAATGGATTACATGCACTGGTCAAGCGCAGTGGCAGAATGTATAAGAAAACAGGACCCATAATATGCTGTTTACAAGAGAGACATCTTAGACATTAAGACAAAAATCAAAGCATGGGAAAAGTGGAAAGGAGTGGAAAAATACACCAAGAAAATAGCAACCAAAGCACAAGTAGCCATATTAATTTCTGATAAAAATAGACGAAGCAGAACTAGCCAAAGAAAGAAGGATATTAAATAATGATTAAAAGGTTGACTGAACCAGAGGACATAACCATTATAAATATCTATTTTAAAAGAGCCCTAAAATACATTAATCAAACCAATTGCATTAAAAATAGAAAAAGACATATGATGATGGGGAAATAGATCTACGTACATATATTTATAGGCTTAGTATTAAGGCAGCAGATGGACATTGAGCCTCTACTCAAGTACTCCTTCAATGCAAGAACACTTTGTTCTATTAATATGCTCACCATGATGCTCACCTTCCTGACACAATCACTGAACACAATGCGGGTGCATAAGCAAATGTAGTGAAGAAAGCTGATGGTGCCCAACTATCAAAAGATATAGTATCTGGGGTCTTAAAGTCTTGAAGATAAACAAGCAGCCATCTAGCTGAGAAACAACAAAGCCCACATAGAAGAAACACACCAGCTTGTGTGATCACAAGGTGTCAATGGGATCAGGTATCAGGCATCAAAGAACAAAAAAACATATCATTGTGAATGAGGGGGGTGTGCAGAGTTAAGACCCAAAGCCCATCTGTAGGTAACCAGACATCCCCTCACAGAAGGGTTGTGGGGAGGAGACGTGCCAGTCATGGTGCAGTATAGCACCGATGACACAACTTTCCTCTAGTTCTTTAATACTTCTTTCCCCCTACTATCATGATCCCAATTCTACCTTACAAATCCAATTAGACCAGAGGATGCACTCGGGTACAGATAAGAACTGGAAACACAGGGAATCCAGGACAGATAAACCCCTCAGGACCATTAATGAGAGTAGCGATACCAGGAGGGGAAGGGGAGAGGAGGGGAAAAAGGAGGAACCGATCACAATAATCTACATATAACCCCCTCCCAGGGGGATGGACAATAGAAAAGTGGGTGAAGGGGGACATTGAACAGCATGACATGACAAAATAATAATAGTTTACAAATTATCAAGGGTTTGCGAGGGAGGGAGGGGAAAAGATGAGCTGATATCAAGGGCTCAAATAGAAAATGTTTTGAGAATGATGATGGCAACAAATGTGCTTGATACAATGGATATATATATATGGCTTGTGGTAAGAGTTGTACGAGCCCCCAATAAAATGATTTTAAAAAATAGGAATAGACAATCCTACAGTAATAATAGGAGAGTAGGGCGCCACTCAATGAAGCATAGAACTGTAAAGAAAATAAAAGCATAGAATAGCGAAACACAGTTGACCAACTTGACCTTATAAACACATATAGAACATTCCACCCAACACCACCGCAATATACAGTTTTTCTAGCATCTGTGAAGGGAGGGGCTTTCTATTCCCACAAACAGTTGCAGTCTTGGAAACCCACAGGGGCAGTTCTACCCTGTCCTATAGGGCCGCTATGAGTTGGCATTGACTCCATGGCAGTGAGTTTGGGTTTTGGGGGAATTTTTTTACCGAAGAGACCATATGTTAGGCCACAAAGCAAGCCACAAGGAATTTTAAAACATCAAACTCCCACAAAGTATATTCTCAAATCACAGCAATATAAAATTAGAAATTGACAATAGGAAAATGGGTGGGGGGGGGATCAAATAGATGGAAAAACTGTAATAGATGAAATAATGAACTTCTTGAAACAAGTGGCAAAGCAAAACTTAACAAAAACAGCAAAAGCCGTGCTCTGAGGAACATTTAGCAATAAATGCACACCTCACAAAAACACCCCAAATCAACAATGAACCACCAATTCCAACACTGCAACACCACATGAAACCAAAATAAACAAGAGTTGACAGAATGAGACAGGAAGTAGTTTCTTTGAAATGTTATCAAAAGGAAACACCACTAGCAGATTAAAAAAAAGCTGAGAAGCTGCAAATACGGGAATGAGAAAGGAAGTAAGAGATGTCACAGAGAAATGATGGAAATAAAAAGGAAAATAGCAATTCTCTGAAACACTGACATGATAAGTGAAAAGATTTAAGTGCTCGAGGATTTCGTTTGACTTGGACTCATGGAAGCAGCATTCGAGAACTCAAATGACCTATTGCATTGGGCCAACCCGTTGCTCAAGATTTCATTTAAGTATTAGAACATTTGAGAGCTAAGATATACTTGACCCACGGTATGCATGTGAAAGCTGGACAATAAATAGGGGAGAGTTCAGAAGAATTGATGTATTTAAATTATGGTATTGGTGAATAATAAATAAAGTACCTGCGAAATGGCATGGGGCCTCATCTGACCACTTCTGGCTACGGAAGGGAGGAGCATCCAACTCTACACCAAGCTAAGGCTGCTGTACTGAAGGCAGAGTCAGACATGCCTCCACCCGCCATCCTTCTTAACCCTGTCATGATACCAACTGTTCCTGCCGTGACACTCTGCTTCCCTGCTGTGGTCAGTAATCTGTTGCAGTGGCAACCCAAAACTTACAGACAATACACATGCTTTTAGGGGTTTAATTGAAAGGATCTGCTGAGTTATTTAAATCCAAGGCAGAGAGGGCACTTCTTTTTTTTTAAATTATTATTCCTAAGGTGTAAGCATGATTGATTTACTTGAAGGACATGGGCACTCACAGGGCTTATTGGGAAGAAATCTTAAGAAAATTGCAAATTGGGTCAGTGAGGCAAAGGCCAGGAAAGGGGTATCAAGGACATTTTTTCCATCTTGACAGTGCACCTGCTCACTCTTCAAGGGTTGCAAGAGCTGGTGTAGGAGAATTTCATTGGGAAGCCTTACCCTATCTACCCTGAAACCCTGATCTTATTTCTTCAAACTTTTTGTCCCCCAAATTCAAAGAACATTGAAAACAAACAAACATGATTTGAATCCCTTAAAAATGCCCAAACTGGAAATTTGACATTGTGTACATAAAAACAAAAACAAAAACAATTTCCTACTATAGAAACATTACCTCTAAAAGTATATAGACCTAGATTGATAGACAGTAGCTTCACATTTGATATTTTTGTTTAATAAAAGTTTAATGATTTTATAGCAATGCCTTTTGACCTACACTCATGTTGTATTGGAAGTTCTGGCCAGAGCAACAAGGCAAGAAAGGGGTAAAAAGCATTTATATTGGCAAAGAAAGAGTAAAACTACGTTGGTTTGTAGATTATATGATCCTATAGCTAGAAAATCTGAGACTCAATAAAAAACACTGGAAATTATAGAAGGATTCGGTGGAATAGAAAGGTACAATATCAACATAAGAAAGTCAGCCAGAAAAAAAAAAGAAAGTCAGCCAGATTGCTTATACTAACAAAGAGAACTCTGAAAAGGAAATCAAGAAAACAATACCATTTATAATACCTCACTCAAAGATGAAATATTTGACCAGAAATACAAGACCTATACAAAGAAAATTACAAAATTCGGCTACAAGAAACCAAAGATCTACAGAAATGGAAGAATTTACCATGCTCCT